CAGAGACAGCATAAACCTAAGAATGTGAGTGGTTCTAATAAAATGCCCTATGGGATGACGCCTCATCTTTTTTTTTTTTTTTTTTTTGCACAGAAACCTGTAATTTATGTGAAAAGACTTCACGGCTGTAGTTATAATCCCTGGCCTCAGTACCACATGCGATGTCCAAAAGAACATTATGTCTTCTCATCTTTACAGTACACTCTAAAATATGCTGGGTTGTTTAACCCAATTTTGGGTTAAATATGGACAAAACCAGCCATTGGGTTACATTTTTAAATGACATTTTTAACCCAATGTTTGAGTTTGTCCATAGTTTACCCAAAATTGGGTTAAAACAACCCAGCATTTTTTAGTGTTTCTATATATTTTTTTAGCGAAACAGTACCGCTACAATATTCTCAAACAAAACATAAGCTGTCAATCCAAAATGTACAGGTCATGATTTAGTCGCGCTCTTTGAGGTCCACAAGTACTTTTAAAGCACATTCCCAAGTTTACTATGTTGTTTCCTGTTGTGATGCACCAAAAGTGCCCAAAGACATGCTTTGTAAAGGGTCACTGCTTCTTTAAAACATCACAGCACCCAGATACCTTTAAGATGCTGCCAACCCATATGCTGCCCACATGTGGGAAAACAAGCTGAGAGGAATCCATGCTGATAACACTTTTTTCAGATGTTTTTTCAAAGGAATTGCAGTCAGATCGTAACACCTGTACCTGATTTTAAATCTCTGGCGTTTTATTTTTTAGCAAGAGCTCTCTGTAATTTTCCGGTAGGCCTATAACTGATTAAAGCATGGATACAATAATACCACGTTCTGCACTGGATGATTTAAAACATGTCTAAATGACTCAAATTTTCAATGTACACCACCACTGAGTACTTTACAACAAAAAAAAGCAGAAATCAAACTCCTTTTCTTGTCCGATACATCAAAATTACTTGTCAAGATGCACTTATAGGATTTTTTTATCCTCTGGCAGTTCATATTCATTTTCCTCCACAAGACATGGCTTATCTGTTACAAATATGACCACCTTTTCATAGTTTAAATGATCTGCAAGACAACGGTTGTCTGCAATGTTGATCTGACTATCATATTGTTTGTTGGCTTTACAATGGCTTTTCAGATTTTGTGGCCTTAACTTTGTTCTAATGTGAACAATGCCTCTTTTTCATTTATGACCTTTTGTGGGTCATCCTCAAACAAGAACCTTTTGTTGTTTCAGAGTTCCTTAGGAAAAAAGGAGAAAAAAAGAAGACCACAAATCAAAACTTTGCTACATGATATTAAGACGCACTTTTAGTGTACATTCCTTACAAAACAGAGCATAATAGTTGACTTTCGTTCAGGGCCTTTTTTTGTAAGGAATTATCTGACCATCCCTCATTATTTCAGCTCCCTGATGCATTTTAATGAAGCAAACTACGTGCAGTTGGTGCACATGACAATTATGACAAATTCCTGTGACTGCATGCTTCTGGGAGGACAGAAAAGGTTGTGATCAGAGATAAAAACGCACAAGCAACGGAAAGAGGATAACAGTAGCGGATAGGAGCTCAATCATCATCAGTGAATCGGGTGCGGACATCCTCTTTCATCCTGATAGATATCCTACGGGAGAGCCTCTGCTTATACAAAGGCAATTACATGCATTTTCTGGTCCTGTCTCATGTGTGTAACGTATATGATGCCTATATATGAGAACAGAGAGCTTGTGCTCTACAGCATGTTGCACTTTTTGAACTCTGCAACATATTTGTTGGGAAACAGATGAAAGATTATTTATAGATACTGGTATTTCAGGGACAGTTGTCACAGGGACTAAAACACTCAAGATTGTAGCTGTTGCGTTTTTGGTTTATTTGCATAGCAAATTGAAATCTAAAGGAATGATACCATAACAATGGAGATGTAAGATACATTCAATAATTCATAATGCTGGCCATTTATTTAAAGCCATTTGTCATTATATTCCAAAATGACCTAGCCACAATCCAAATATATCTATAGTATTTCTTAAAACAAAATCAACCAAATGCACACATACGTAATTATTGTATACCTGCTGAACTACACACCTGCTTTCAAAAAGCTATCACACCCTATCACTTGCCCAGGCAAGTCTTCCACTTCTTGTTTAAAGTTTTAAATAACCACAACACAACAAAAATGTGTTATGTGACTGTGATTGTTGCCAATATGCTTAAATGCATAACAAAGCAAACAACTAAGACCACAGTACTAGAGTACTACGGCATTGAGTTGGAATGCAGTTTTCACATAGTACTAGACCGTATCTCTGTCAGCTGTCTTATTGAGCTGCAATGGCTTAAAATCCTTATTAAGTCAAGTCACTTCCTTCAGCAGCCTTATTATAGAACCGGTCCAACCTGGATGCAACTTCACCTTCCAGCCCTGCTTCTCTGCTTCAGCTGCCAATACCGCAGCTTCTTCCTAAGCCTCCTCGATACCATAATAAATATTTATTCAATATTTTGCAAGCTTGTTGTGAAGTTGTGCCTGGAATGTAAAACTAATTGTACAGTACGTGTTCCACGATTAACTTGTATCATCTGTCATGATGCAATGAAACACACCGAAATTGTGTGGACATCATGATTGGGCAATACGCTGATTTCACACAGCCGCCATTTTGAAATCGAAAGCGCGGCTCCAGTGGGAAGAATCCCTGAAGTACAGATAGACAACAATGTTAATATCCAATATAGGATATGTATATAGTTCGTTCCTGCTTCTTTTTTTTACGTTCTGAATATATATATATATATTAATTTTTTTTTTTATAAATGTATAAATTTCACTGTAATGTATGTACTTTGTACATTTTTAGAATAAAAAAATTTCTGCATTAAACACAACAATACGGCATCGCATTCACGACTCTCCTATGATTAAAGGCAACACTTCCTGTTTTCTTCCCACCGGTGCCAGTTCAAAATGGCGGCTGCGTGAAATCAGTGTATTGGTAACATCTTGCACTCATTATAAATCAATAAATCACTATGTAAAAGTATTATAGCTATATTATTACATGTTATTTGTGGGTTTTAGCGGAAATGGCCAGATGGAAGGAGCTGTCCTCTACAACCAAGGAAGATATTGTTGAAATGGCTGGTCAATCATTTTTAGATATTGCATATGTGTAGAATTATTTCAAAGCACAGTGAGACCATTACCATGCAGAATGTAAAGTGCTGTGGCTGGTCAAGAAAGACTATGAGCATTTTGACAGGAAGGAAATCACCTGAATATGGGACATGGATGAGACCTCCAACCTCCAATTTCATCTTGAACTGTAAGCCAATTAAGGACTACAAAAGGGCTGGGTTGAGAGGTTGGGGATGCATGTTTGTAGCAGGTGTTGGAAGGATGTACAATGTTGCTGGCACTTTGAAAATGGACCACTACTTGGGAATCCTGCTGAACACAATGAAGCCAAGAGTGGAGGATCTGTTCGGAGATCAAATGTGTATTTTCCAACATGATAATGATCCCAAACACACCACGAATGCAACAAAGTTGCAAGCAATGAAAGTGTTCGTGTGCTCAGCATTTTGAAGACTTTAAGCGGCCTCCTCAGTCCTCTGACCTTAAAGTCATTGAAACCTTTGGGAAATTATAAACCTGAATTGTGATAAGTCATACAGGGCTGCAATGAAGCTTAACTTTGGGAAGAACTTAAGGAGGATTTGAAAGAAGTTGCATGACAAATTTGCAAAGTTTAGTGAGTCAATACCCAGGAGAATGTCTGTAATCAAAGATAATGGAGAACCAACAAAATATTAACATTTTTTGCATAATACAATAAAAGTCTGGAGTTTGCCTTTTTGCCAAGTAATTTAAATACCTTAACCAATTAGTGTACACTCTTAGAAAAAAGGGTTCATTGGGGTTCTTTATATGAAGCATAGGGTTCTTTATTCAACTCCAAAGAACCTTTTATGCTAAAAAAGGTTCTATAATGACAAGAAAGAACCCTTTTGGTACAAAGGTTCTTTATAGGCTATTATTCATTCATATATTACATTATTCTGCAACTTTTTGTAGATGTTAATCATGCTGATTTTTGGAGGAGAAAAACTGAAATGGCACTCTTCGTGTGATATAGATATAAATATATACATTTTCTAACCCCCATAACTTGAATTTTGTGATCATTCACATGCATTCATAAATACATTTTAGGGTCTAATGTTTTCTAATGTTTTTGGGTCTTGATGTTTGTCCATAATATGAAAAATTTAATCCGGAAAGGACAAAACAAATGATAATGAATGAACCCAAAAGGTTCCATATACTGTAGAACCATTTTTTCCTGGTTACAAAGAACCCTAAAGGGTTCTTCTTATTATTGAACCCTTTAAAAGGGTTCTGTAAAGAACCTTTTAGGGGTTCCAAATATGTAGCAGAATCTTTTAAGGTTCTATATAGAACCTTTTCTTCTAAGATTATACTTCTTCACAATGTAACATACTCCTCATATTGTGATTGTTTAATAGAACCTGAAGTATCATTAAAAGCAAATATTGTGCAGATTTCCCCTCTAGACTGATCACTGTATATCAAATACTTAGTTTAGTTATCAAATTAACACTCATTTATAAATGTAATCAAGTGCATGTCCTATATGTAACATAGTCTAAAAGTGTGAACAAAAATATCACATTGGCTGCTTTTCAAAGAAGACGAGAGAATGTACAACACCGAGTGATTCTGGTTTTGATTTACGTGCTTGCATGTCAAAATCATTTACCTTGCTTTTCTCAGAATATGTCCTCTTTACACCCTAAAAACAAGCTTGCACAGACATGTTTTTCATTTCTTAGCTCTTGTCCTCAGCAGAAGAGGTGTACAAAGCAGTGAGTCAAAAGAAACAGGTAAAGTTAGTCTGATAATACATCTGGAAAAAAAAAAAAAAACAGTTAAGGTGGTGCCCTTCACCCCTTCAGTACAAGTTCCTTCAAGTGTAAGTGTCAGTCAACAGTACTTTATTGGAAGTGTTAAATGTAACTATTACATTATGTATTAATATTAAATACAAATGTTGGTTTTCGTATATTTTACATTAATTCCTAATCACAAAAACAACTTTCTTCAGTTAGGCTTATGCAATTCAAAAGAATCCACATTACAGCTAAAAACATCACTTGATATAAAAACAATCAGGCTTTCTTCAATGCCAAATCAGTATTTTAGAAAGATGTTTTGAATGTTATTATTGTTTTCTAAGGAAGAGCATTCCTATTTTATATGCACATATACATAATACATCTTATATAACCATTCACTGTTAACAAAGAATACCTTTTAAGTTTGATCTGTATTTGACCTGAAGGTATACCTTATATCTTTTTGGCAAGGTACAGACTTTTGTCTTTGATCAGAACCCAACCTCAGTTTTTCAAAATTCAACAGAGGATGGCATTCTGCTAGCAAGAGCACAGTACACCCAACAGATGTGATTGTTTTCAAGATGTTGGATAAGAAAGGGATAACGTATAGTCATTATAGCAAAATGAATCGTAATTTTTCTTTTAAAAAAGGGACATGAAATATTGATTTGATTTTGAATTATTTCATGTGAGAAGACGTGCATAAAAAGACGTTTTACAAGCTAGTCATCATTTTTTTTTTTTTTTTTTTTTTTTGCTTTATCACCATTACTACCTTTTCTTAGTCAGTTACATAAAAATGTAGATTAGTCTAATTTGACTCCTGACTAACTGCTAGTGGGTCTTATAAGTTAAGACATTGTCTTAACACAAGGCTATGCAACTGGCCCCTTGGTGTTAAAGTTGTGATAATTTCTTGCAATAACTTATCCACAACAAATAAATAACTACATGGAAATTGGGTATGAGCATGCAATTAGCAGTGATTCCCTGGACATCTGTCAGTATCAAGAAAAAAGCATCAAGAATCAGAATTAAGCATTCCATGTAATAAGTTAATAAAGCCAATTCAGTTCTGTCAGTTTTCTTAGGAATGATACACAGGCCACTCTCGCATTTATTTCTTCTAAACATAATGCTGTTTAGTCGGTTAGATACGTTTCAAACAGTGGCGTGACTGTTCCATCTTTCCACTCAACAAGGATCTCACCTCGCTGGATGGAGGGGGACTGAGCAGGTTTCATAGGGTGTCGGGTTAGAGGGGCTCTCTCACTAGGCACCGGAGACCCTGGCTGACTGACCTCTCCTGTCGGAGTGTAGGATTTCAGCACCACCACAGTCTTCTTCCTCCTGTGCGTGAAGACAAAAAAATAGATCAGCTACTCATAAAGTAGGAAAACTCGTTACAGAGTATTTCCTTGTTATGAAACGGATTTCAACCACCATGGATCAGTTACATAATGAAAAACAATTTCCTCTCGAGGCTATGCGTAAAATTAAATGCTGCCATTCAGAGTAATAATGCCTTGAAGGTTTATTTACTAAAAATAAGAAGAATCTTACCTGTTCTGGTAAATGTTAACAGTGAGGATCACAAGCCCAAGTAACAGGGCCAAACTGCTTAGAAGCAACATTGCTATTTTCCAGCCTGTTCCTGTCATTACAAATGTAAAAAAAAAAAAATATCATATAACTAGCATTATCTTTCTTTTTTTTTTTTTTTTTTACCATTTCCATTACCATATTATGAGTTTTCACTCATTTTCTGTCATTAAAATTCAGTAATCTTTTGTTGGCTCGTGACCAAAGACATGGCACCGTGTTTAGGTTTCCTCTCCTCTACTGCCCTCATGTGGACATAAGGCAAATTTAACTAAATTTCCGATGTGAATTTACAATGTTTGAATGTTTTTTTGTTGTTGTTGTTGTTTATAGCCGGTGTCCTGACCGATAAACATTTAGGCTAACTGTTAAAACGAATCAAACTTTCTGAAACAGATGAGAACTTACCATAGTCTGTTGTAAAAACATTAACAGAAGGTCCCCCAGGCTCTACGCTACTTTTAGGTTCAGCCGATGCCTCTGCAGTCTGTGACGCTTCAGTTGACTTTATTTGTGAGGTCTGGCCAATACTCCCAGCTTAAGTAAAGTAATAAAAGGGTTGTATAATTATGCTATACAGTATAGTGATTATTAGAAACAAAAATGTACACACAGGAACCCTGTCCTTAACTGACGCCTTGGGAAGCATTTTGACCATGCTTCAATATCTGACGCTTTATAGGCACCCTTTAGCGTCAGTAAGATGACGCTCTAGGATCGCGTCTAACCCTTACCCTACCCCAAACCTAAACCTACCCACGTCATCTAACTGACGCTTTACCTTTAGCGTCAGTCAGATGATCGCTCATGTAACTGACGCTAAAGGGTGCCTAAAGTGTCAGATATTGAAGCATGGTCAAAATTGTCAGTTAGATGACAATGCCTTGGGATGAGAATGCATTGATTTCAGTCGTTCATGATCCATACTTTTTTGTAGTTGTTGTTTTTTATCAGATATTTTTGGGAAGGAATTCCATTTTGTATGTCAGGTACCAATCCTTGGAATTAAAGGGTTAGTTCACCCAAAAATGAAAATTCTGTCAGTATTTACTCACCCTCATGTTATTCCAACCCCGTAAGACCTTCGTTCATCTTCGGAACACAAATTAAGATATTTAAGATATTAAGATCGCTCCTGCATACAGTCCATAGGCTTCTTGAGGGACTGGCTCTTGCTGTCCTCGAAAAGTCATTAAAGACATCGTTAAAATAGTCCAAGTGACTACAGTGGCTCAATCTTAAGTTTATCAAACGACGAGAACACTTTTGTGCGCAAAAACAACAACAAAAATAACGACTTTATTTCAACTATTCATTTATTTCTCCCTCTGCGCGAGTCAGGTTACTAGTTTAATAGCGTAAGCTTCTGTTATTGTACGTCACACGCATCACATACACATGACCAGCGTCGGCCAATAGTGAGCCTACGTGTGACGTAGCTCTACGCAATCACACTACATTAACTGACTTACAGGCTCATGGAGAAGGAAGTGAATAGTTGAAATAAAGTCGATATTTTTGTTGTTTTTTTTTTAACCACAAAAGTGTTCTCGTCGTTTGATAAACTTAAGATTGAGCCCCTGTAGTCACTTGGACTATTTTAACGATGTCTTTAATGACTTTTCGAGGACAGTAAGAGCCAGTCCCTCAAGAAGCCTATGGACTGTATGCAGGAGCGATCTTAATATCTTAAATATCTTAATTTGTGTTCCGAAGATGAACGAAGGTCTTACGGGGTTGGAACAACATGAGGGTGAGTAAATACTGACAGAATTTTCATTTTTGGGTGAACTAATCCTTTAAGATATGTAAATAAGTATGTACAATTAATAATTAATGATAACTTATTTGTGTCAGCCTGAGATTTGAATGTGCCTCAATTGAGAATAATCAGTGACATTTTATTCCACTTAAATATCACTCAATCTTCTCTGATAATGCCAGGTTTTCCAATACTGTGGGTACCCTGGTTCAAATTTAGTAGGACAAGATGAGAAAGTAAAAAGAAAAAAACACATGACAGAGGATGATAAGGTCTGGTTGGTATGACAGGAGTGACCTTCAAGAGACGCTGAGCTGAATTCTGTGGAGTTTAAACTGAAGAAGTGGATGAGATGCCATTAATCAAAATGATGGGATGACGGAATGCAACACAAACTCCTAATCTAACTCTCTTACAATGCCAATATCGAATTTGAGTGTGGATTCGGGGTCCAGTTGAAATTGTCTGCTGCAACACATTCTGGCCGTGATGTTTGCTGTCTGTATCCTCGCATACCGTTTGATTAGCCATTGTCCTCCACTTGCTGCCTTTCCCACGGTCTTTGGAAAGGAAGATCTTGGAGGAATCGTGACGTGCGCTCAGGTGCAGACCCTTGCTGTGTAATGTCAGGAGACCCTTTTTAGAGCAGCTCCAGGTCTGGCCTTCACGATCCTCCTCCTCAGAGCGGCAAGCTTGCAGCCAAACATTCTCATGCTCCTGGATCTGGGGTGCAGTTATACACCCTCCTGTCTGCGGGCTGCTGAGAGAGCGTGTCTTTGGGTTCCAGTGCCACTCTTGCAGAGCTGAATCTGCCCTGCACTCTTGCAGGGTTAACCTGCTGCTGACTTGACCTTCATTTGCTTCTACACACTTCCTCACCTCTTCATTCCTGATCATGAGTGCTGTAACTTCTATAAGGGGAGAGAGATATTATTGTAGCTTATAACATTGTAACTAGGTAAATATGGACAGTATAGAGGCTATGTGGTAAAATACATCTTTAATCATCAACACCTCAGACTGCTGCTAGCACAACAAACAACTTGACAGTCTTGACCAAGAAAGAAGACCATCCCTCCCTTTGAACACTATAGCTAATAACATACGGTGATAATATTCATGGAGCTGTGTGAACATTGTGAACAGTCTGGGATTTTTTTTTTTTTTACAGAAACATCCTCAAAATCCTAAGTGTTTAGTAGCCTAACCATCCTGATTTCATTTAGGAAATTGCACTTTAAAAAAAAATCTTTAAGTCAAGTTGTTAAGACAGGAAGTTTCTGTAATACAGCCGAGCCAAGTGTCGACTTCTACTGACAAATGGTAGAAATAAACGCTGAAATAAAGATTGCACATGCTGTAATTACCTTCAAAAACAAGCGTTGTGAGTACAAAAATGCAGAATCCTCTCCAACCAACATCCATCACCCCGGCTATACGGGACAATAACAACACTAATATTAGACTTTCATATTACAATTAACTGTTCTGATACAAATAGAGAGTAAGTAATTCTCACCGCTCCTGATATCCCCTTATAAAGCAAAGCAGAGAGTGAAGAGCGACTGTTTTACAGAACAACTATCCGACCGATAGTTGACACTGTAGCACAACAGATTTTCACTTGAAAGAAGACTGGAAGTTTATGGCGCATGAAGAGCAAAAGTGTTCAAAGAGTGAGTGCAGAATACTAATTAACAAAAGACGACGAAAGGCAATTAAGTGCCCCGCTATGTTGGGGGAAAGACAGTAAAACTAAGGGAATCACAACAACAACCATTGCACACTATAGCCTGAAACTCGAGTTTGCGTATTAATGTAAAAGACGTATTTTCAACATCACCAAACAATAATTAGTGAGGGGGAAACTTAACTGTAGGCTAATTTACAGAAGATTAACAAAGAGAATGCTAAATTTATGAGGCTCGACCATTTGAATGGCATTCCATTCAAGCTGAGATGACAGAGCTTCTGTTCCCGTTGCTGTGCTGTTGCTAAGTTTGGCGTCGACAGAGTCAGACGCAGACGCATATAGCCTACTCTGCCCAATATTTAAAAAGAATGGGAATGTGAGTAAAACACTTTAGAATTGTTTCACCTATTTGTGTTTTTATGGTATTGGAAAATAATGATACAAAAATCACACCAAAATGCCACTTTTGAAAAGTAAATAAACACTTATTTTACTATAAAATATGCTGGAGATCATTCTTTGTTTTTCTATTACTATTTTGATAAATAAATAGCCTTAATTAGCCTTTGGCTGACAAGCGAGTCAAGAAAACAACTGTCATTCCAGCCAAAATTCATAAAGACGTGATGAAAAAAAGTGAAGATATTTAAATATATATTCTGAGCATGGAACAAAACGTTAAATTAAGAATTGTGTTAGGTATCAGTAATGTAATTTACACACTGCTGTATAGCCCTATACAACATATCCTGCAGATGATGAGTTTTCTCAAATAATGTTCTTACAGAATCTGAATTGCATTTTATACCATTTCCGATAATTGGGCAGATAATTTTCAATCATTTTCCTGTAATTGGGCAGTTTTCTGTCTTTATCACACCCGTCAGACTCTGCCATAGCATGGACCCTGTCTGATGCCCATTGCATGATGGGGCCCGTGCTCACTTTCACAAGCCCCATACCCACAACCTCTCTGGCAGGTCTCTTATACACAAAGTCATTTATTTGTTCCTCCCCTTGCTGTCTTCAAATGCACTCATACAATATATGCTACTTTGAGAGGCCTAAAGAAAAAACATTCTGCAGGTCTTTCAGAAGGAGTAACATCTGTTCCTCCCACAGAGTGCTAACAATTAGATCTTTCACAACTGAATATAAAAGAGATTTTGATATGTAGGAGGTTATAAATTGTACCTCTTGTTTGTAAATGCGCTGCAAAAAGTGTAATGAGGATAATCTTTATTTTTTATTGGCAAACCCCCCCAAAAACAAATAATATGTGGTTTTGTTTGTTTGAAAAACTAAATCTGTATTAACCCTTTTACACATTGAGGTCACTACAGTGGACAGCTAAAAAGCCATTTTCTGTTTGCATTAGCTGCACACAGTGGATGATAAACTGCAACCAAGTAGCAATCCTTTGTGTATGTGGATTTTTGTATGCTGGCCTTCGGAATAGCTATCTATCCATCTTCCTTCATAGACTCTTGGAATAAAAACATCAAGTAACATCCAAGGAGTCGTGTCATTGTTAAATTGATAACAGGTGTAGGCTACAATTTATCTAAAATGTATTTCTAAAATGTATGTGTTAAAAAGGTTTAAAATCTTGTTTTTCATGCCCTAGAAGCAGCAAAAACACATAAGGAAAAAAACCCGACTGTTGTTATCATAATTCATGCATTTAAAAAAAAAAAAATCGCCAGAAACAATAATCAAAAAATATATAGTTTTTTATAATGCAACTTACAGTAACTTAATACAATAAAAAACACTTATTTGTAAGTTTATGATATGTCGACCATATTATACTACACAATTAATTTTTGTATAATATAAAATAAATATAAAAATACATTTTGTTCTATCTTCACTTAATGCATTATTTTAGACATAAAAAAACCCCATAAAAATCAAGCAAAATCTAATTCATACAAGGCAGGTTAGTGCCATCTGGTGGAGGGGAGGGGGTGGGGGACTGAATAAAATATAATGACATGATTTAACGATTTAATCCCAAGCTGTTAAGAAGATGATGATCTGCATCTTCTAAAAAGGCTAATTTTGTGTTTGTGTGTGCTCTCCTCATCTGAGTGTAAAGCAATGTGTCATCTTCTTATGTGCACCAGTGTTCTCTAGCTCCACTTTTGTTCTTTTGGCAGCATACCCTCAATTCCGGGAATGATTTCTTTTCTTCCACAGCACAAAGAAACCAATGGAAACATCCAGCATGTTGAAAAACAGTGTCACAGGCCAGCAATTTGTCTTCTGTTGGGAGCTCTGGCTTGTTCCTGCACACAGTTCCAACCATGGTCAATTTTCTCTGAAGATTCTCTGTGCAAAAGGCATGCAATGTGAAGAAATAGTCACTACTGTGTTACTGTGTGTGACCCTGGAGAGCAGCTGTCTCTTGGAGTACAATGCGTCTGCCCTGATTTCTTTCAGGATGTGCCCCACCAATTTAGATCGGCAAATTCCAGGCATAGCTTCTACTGGCATCACAGGCTGCCCCGATTTTAATGCAATATTTGACAGCTTTACTTGTATTAAACCCATTAAACCCATCTGCACTAACAGTTTGTTGTGTTCTCTTCTGGCACATTGTTTCTTTGTCATCAAATCGGATGACCATTAACAATTTTGAAAATCGCACAGTGGCATGATGGCCTGAAAAATCACCGCCCCTTATGCCATTTGTGGCTTCATTGTGAGATTTGTAGACACCAGCAAACACGAGAAGACAAAGAAATGCTTGTATTTTGTCCAGCCTAAAATCAAAAACATCGAATGTCAACCATCATTTATAATTTTGATGACTTAAATGGTCATGAACACACTCCATTTAGCACTGCTGTTTCAGAACATCAGTTACAAAAGGTACAGGGCCAGGCTCAGCATTAATCATTATATTGTACAAAATATTGTTTAGCATGGTAATTAGATATTGATGTAAATCCAATATTTTTCCCAAACAATAAAATCTATGAAACTATAGGCCTATATAAATGATAACATCTGTTTTATACTATATATATATATATATATATATATTTAAATAATAATAAAAAAATAACATGAACATAGAAATAATAGGCCTATAGATAGATAGATAGATAGATAGATAGATAGATAGATAGATAGATAGATAGATAGATAGATAGATAGATAGATAGATAGATAGATAGATAGATAGATAGATAGATAGATAGATAGATAGATAGATAGATAGATAGATAGATAGATAGATAGATATACACTATAGTGAATTAGTGAATGAGTGAACGAGTGAGCGGTTTCGGACACAGCCTATGTCTTTAAGACGTTGAGAAGCGTGCGTCACTCCGTGTAGCGCAGATAATTGTGACGTTCTACACACAGGTACACATGTCTGCGCCGTCACTATGGCTGCAAGAGACGCGAGATGGTGGTGAGACCTTGCTTGAATATAATTAGACAATAAAATATCCATTATACTTCTTTTCCGACGTTGACTTGTCCAATAACATGCGAAACTGCGTATGTTATTTCCATATTAGGCGCCGTTTTATTAACTAGTGGCACTGAAACGAAGAGGATTAACAGGAGAACCCAATGAGAACCCATTTTCCTTCATTCAGGCTTGGCTTGAATTAACGTTAAATTTATTTGTGTACCACGCGCAAATACATGGTAAATAATAATGTCTGGGATTAATTAATGTCAGTGTTTTGTAACTGAAAAAAAAGAAGCATACTTCAACTTGAACCAGGCTGGACATTGCGCTAAAATCCGATTTAACCGTAGTGTTGGTTTGAACAGCACCGTCCTAATTCTCTAACGTTACTAGTCTCAAGAATCTCTCAGGATTTACAATTGCCCATTTATTTTGAACTGATTTCCAATCTACATCCCTACAACATCCCTACTTTTTAAACATGGCGAAAATGTACCACAAAGAGAAAAGCATTCCGATAAAGAGCAGCGCGTCTGCGCTCTATAACAACCTGAGCGTCCTGCGCATCGCGCCGCGCTGCCTCACCTATTTCACCGTGGTCCACGCCAACGTGGTAAACATGGTCAGTGCCTCCTGGGACGGCCTGAACTATTCCCACCGACAGCTACAATCTAAAGAGGGTAATATGACCACTAGCTCCTCACTCATCATGCAGGTAAGAGGATTTGAGCTCTACTAAAAACTGTTCATTATCTTATTTTAGTGCAGTTTTTCTTCCATTATTTTAATGCTGTCACAATTTAACGCCCTAAATTGGTAGGCTGATAATATTTGTACTTTTCATTGTTTTAATATTTAACATTAGATCATATTGAACTGATTTTTGTCTGACAGGCAGCCTGGTGTGCCCTGCCCGCGAGAGATCTTCTAGTTCTCACTTCTCAGAAAGGAATTCAGGTGGGTCAAGTGTTATGACATGCTCTTTATATGTATGGGAAACATGACTTAAACTAGGCCAATGTTTCTTCATCAGATGTATGAATCAGATGGATCGATAATGGTCTATTGGCATGCCCTGGACACACCAGAGACCCCCACAGGTCAGTGCACACCTCGTTTAACATAAATAACATAAATGTGTTTATTCATTTTTCAGCTAATTTGAAGAAAGATCTGTGTGAAATTGGTTGTGATTAGCTGCATATACCTCATAAAACTGACATTATGTGTTGGAATTTCCCAGCTAAGGCAGTGTTTGCCCGAGGGATTGCAGCAGTGCGGGAAAAATTCATTTGTGTAGGTAAGTGGCTTCATCTGTCAACAGTGGATAGTAAATATCTGTCTGTTCTAAGAAAGCCATTTATTTATTTCCTTAGTGTGTAAAAGTGCCCCTTTTCATTCTTCACACTTTTTTCAGGGGTCTCATCTGGCTCAGTGCTGGTGTTCGACGTTCCCAGTAAAGGCAGTAACATCACCCTGTCTGAAGTTTTGGAGGAACACAAAGAGGCCATTACAGACATGGCATCTGAGTGCTCAGGAAGTCTGGTATTAACTCATTTTTTTTTTAGTTTTATTTGTCATGTTTGGTTCAGTTGATTTAAATTATTGGTGGCTCAAATGTTTTAATATTAAATTGACCTCTCTTTTCAGGAGTGCATTGCTGATTTAGTAAGCGCTGATGACTCTGGCCTCCTCTGTGTGTGGAAATCAGGAGAGGATTTTCAACTTCTCAACAAGATCCCTGGTTTTGAGTATGTTAGGAAGTAACACTCACTACACAAGAGACAATGGGTTTCATTCATGACAATGGGTTTTATATTCTATATAATTTGAACATAAAGTGGTCGTTCCCCCAAACTCTCCTCTGGATTGGCATGCACGCTGATTTTTAATTGGCATACTTCCCGCCTATGAGTTACAACAATATGTGAATTATGTGTACAAGAATCCTATGGGATGTTTTGGACTCCCTTCTTAGGTTTGGCACCAGTAAATTGCATAGATGCAAAATAATAATTGGCCATATTTTTAACAAAAACATATTTAATTAATGTGTTAAGCTTGCTGACAAATGCTGGTGCTCCGAATAATCATGTTCTATAACTATAATTACAGACTGATCTCATGAAATGGCATATGTATGACACGCCAATTCGTATATTTCCATTTTTGGAATCGCTTTTCAGCGTGTTTATGAACGCCGTCCGTTGACTTAACTTTACATTACTTTATATATAAATATATGACCTACCCCAACCCCATCCCTAAACCTACCTGTCGCTGGGGTTAATACCATTTATGAGTTTTCCACTACCATCCTAGGAAAAAAATATCGCTCACCAGATGTAGATCTACATTTTGCTTCAATTTGCTCGGACATTTAACGGTGTGTACATACACGCGGAATCACTAGGACATTTAACGGCGTAGACATACACGCGGATAGCTCAAAATGCGTATAGATAATACGCCACTTGACTTGAAAGTGGCGTGTATGTTTACGCAAAAGTCATGTCATGTTGATAATTAAAACTGTGTGTTTTCAATCATTTTTGTTTATCAGTGAAATTAATTTTTACATAGAATTATTTATCTGATAATTATTTATCTTTGTGATTATATATCGTTATGGTAAATGCAGTGTCAGTTTACCTAAAAACACATAAAACGCACTGCTTCATGAATCCGAAAATTTACATCAGAACAACTTTACAAACGGTTTACACAAAAGTATTCTGCCTGTGTTTCATGAAGTATACCAATACATCATTATAGTGCATATATGATTGAAATGTGTATCTTCTTCTCTCAGCACAAGTTGTTCTTCAGTAAAACTGTGGAAGGGCACAGTCATTGCAGGCTATGGGACAGGACAGATCCGTCTGTATGAGGCGGTCACGGGTATACTGCATGCAGAGGTCAATGCTCATGCACGCTGGATCTACACACTGGACATTGCCCCATTCACTGGCCTGGTGAGAAAAGATGTATTCAGTACAGTCTGTGTCTTACAAGTAATATATGGATCAGTACATATGTGCACTTTGAGTCTAGTAATCGTATTATTTAAATACATTTTGAGCACAAATAGGCTTAATTAAATCAAGTTTTTCATATTTAGGTGTATTCTTAAAATGCTAAACTCTCATATACTGATATTTTTTTCCTTTGTTTAATGAAAAAGCTGCTCTCTGCAGCAGAAGACTCTTGGGTTAGAGTGTGGCATCTGAGCTTGACCCCAGAGACTAACAGTGTAGAGGTAAAACCCTTCACAGACATACATGGCATTTCAAATTTTGGGGTCAGTTTTTGTTTTTCAGCAAGATGCATTAAATTGATCTAAAGTTACAGTAAATACATGGATAATGTTAATATTATATCTATTTCAAATAAATGCTGTTCTTTTGATCTTTCTATTCTTCGAAGAATCTTGAAAAGAATAACGGTTTCCACAAAAATATTAAGCAGCACAACTGTTTTCAACATTTATAATAATAATACGTTTTTGAGCAGCAAATCAGCCAATTAGAATGATTTCTGAAGAATCATGTGACACTTTAGACTGGAGTAATGACATCAGCTTTGCCATCACAGGAATGAATTACATTTTAAAATGTTTTCAGAACACAGTTATTTTAGATTGTAATTAAACTTCACAATATTACTGTTTGTTACTGTATATGTGATTAAATACATGCAGCCTTGGTGAGCATAAGAGCAAACTCTTAACTAACCCCAAGCTTTTGAACAGTACTAGAGCTGCATTAGTCCAAAAACATTTGACTTGATATTTTGTTCTGGAGTATTCAGTGTTGCAAAGCACTTTATGTGTGTTCAGCTGATTTCAGACGGACTCAGCATTTCTCTGCCCTTTCTAGATCGAGCACATGTACAATGAGTGTGTGACTGACACGCAGATCTGTGGAGCCAAGTTCTGTGATGGGGACGGCTACGCATTTGCAGTGACCGGCTATGACTTGAGTGAGATCATCCGCTACACGCAAGCCTAATCAGCAATACATCATGCAAAGTCATGTCTTGGCAAAATATTGGTGAATAAATTGGTGCATGATAGGCAGAGTCAGGGGGCAGAGAATGTTTTCGTAAAACCAAATACACTATCTGAAATTGCTTAAAAAGCCCCACTTGAACACCAAGAGGCTGTGTTAAGTATATCTACATGACTGACAGTTGTAATGAATACAAAAAAATACATTTTTTGTACTCAGACATAACAAACGAGAATCTAGGTAGAGAAGTATCAATGTAAACAAATGTTAGAAGAGGTAGTTCTGTTTTTTTTTTTTTTTTTTTTTTGTTCCTTGTATAATTTATTTAGTAAAGGTATTTACTAAAGTGTTACTGAAAAAAATGCATTTTACCTCAATGAAAAATTTGAGGTCCGCAATTGAATCAAATGGAATGTGATCATATTTGTGTTTCAGAATATCAAAATATATAAATATAAAATATATTTTATTTAATGTGCAATATTATAAATATTGCAGAGGCTATAATGTTCTTTATATTTGTCAAAATAGCCTTTGAAATACTCACATTGTATCTAGATAGTTATTTCAACTTGTAAAAGCAAATATTTTATATTTTTGTCGGTTTCATTGTAAGAAATTGTCAGTGACAGTTCAGGAAACTATTAAAAAATAAAGAAATAGGTTTCACTCATTGTCTGTGGCCTTTATTGCCATTAGAAATGTGTACCAGTAGATGGCAATAGATCTTACATGTTTTTTGAACACTTGCAACATTTGAGATTGGAAGTAAAACAGATTTATAAAGATATCACAGAACATAATTTAGGGTAAGAGTTGTTAATTGTCTTCAGTGTCATCTCTTTGAACTCGTAAATGTTCGATCAACTTCAACTAATTTGACATGTTTTTGTAGATTTTAACAAGAGAAAATCTTTATTTAAGCAGCATTTTTTAATCTTTGACTAATATTTTCAATACTGTTAACTTCAGAAAGAGGAAGACTTTGATTGTCCTTCATACACGTGCTGATGAGTCCTTTTTTCTTGATGTTCACTGTTATCACGCTAATGTTTTGTTGTCATTACATCATTCATCTGTGTAGGTTTCTCTTTTTTAGGTTAAAGCAGAACACCAGAGGAACGCGCATTATCACGCCAAGCTTTTATATTAGTTATCTGTTGAAATATCTTTTATGCTCATTTGACTTTTCCACCATAATATTTGTGCCCGTACTGTGAGTCTGTTCTGTTGTTCCCTCATGTATTATCCACACATGACCTCCCTTGCCAGCTTGTTATTGATAAAACACCCCATGCCTTCTTATGTAAGACTTTTAACTTTGTCCTATGGATGACACTATGTGCCCTATATCTGTTATCAAGAGAGAGTGAATATCAATGACACATATAGGGACAGACCTAATAGACTGAGAAAAGAGCACTGACCATCAGGTTTGATGGTGGACAGAGAGGAAGAGAGTCCAGAGAGAGTCGATGAGACCTCCAATGGCTGTGGATTTAATGGAATTATGTAATGCTGCCGTGCGGCATTGGAGCACAGTGAGATGTGTTTAAGGTCATTGTGTTTAGTGGGATCTGTGTTAATAAACACTATGGCTGGTTTACATGGTGTGTGAAATTCAATAGTGCTTTCCAGACACATCAGATCTGTGGCCTCCAGGGGGTCGCAGTGTTTTCAGATGGGAACCGCCAGTCTCCATGGCACAATGCAATTCCAGTGGAAACTTAGATGCTCATTTATTACACTTAGGTGGATTTGATGCACTTAAATTTTAGATTATTCACCCAAAAATGATGTAATTAATGACTCACCCTCATGTCGTTCCAAGGCCGTAAGACCTTGTTCGTCTTCAGAACACAATTTAAGATATTTTAGATTTAGTCTGAGTTTTCTGTCCTTCCATTGAATGTATGTACAGTATACTGTACTTGTCCAAAAAGGAAATACAGACATCATCAAAGTAGTTCACGTGACACCAGTGGGCTAGTTAGAATTTTTTGAAGCATCGAAAATACGTTTTGGTCCAAAAATAACTAAAAATACTAATTTATTCAGCATTGTCTTCCGGTTCTGTTGTCAATCCGTGTTCAGTGACGCTGATGACGTAAGAGTACAATCAACTTGGATGTTTAAGTCTTAAAGGGCAGTAGGGCACCTATTATGGAAAATTCACTTTTACATGGTGTTTGAACATAAATGTGTGTTGGCAGTGTGTGAGCAAAACCACCCTGGAATGATAAATATCCACCCAGTGTTTTTTTTACAATCTCAATAAATCATGCACTGCCTCAGAACGAGCTGTTCTGAGATTCAGATCTTTGTGACGTAGAACGGGAGACAGGGGTTTGATTGACAGTGTGGCTGTGGCCTAGACCCCGCCCTCGGTGATCTGTACACATCCTCCATTGTTTCAACGACAGCCTGTAATGTCTCTTGGAAACATAACTTATCGACTTGTGGGTTAATCCTGTTGTTGTGGCTTAAAAGTTAATCCTCAAGTGTGGATCGTCATCTACTGTTTGCGATCCACCGTCACATCCAGTAACAGTAAGTGTATTTTATGATTTTTGAGCAAATAGTTTTCAGTCGATGTCAGCCAATTCAACATCAAAAGCGTCTAAAATTGTTGTCGTCGTAGAATGTCAGTGTTAAACCTTGTTTGTATAGTGTGTAACCACACGTTTATAAATATATATTTTTAAAGATATTGTATTAAAAACCGCATGTTCTTGTTCTGTATGTTAGCCATCTTCTCACATTTGCCACAGAAGCACCTGTATGACAAGTAAACATGACGCCACAGCTCCCTCGCATAAATGTAATTTCGCTTGTAAGTTACGTAGCAAACTTTATCACAGCATGTGTATGTAACGTTAGTTTTAAAAAAAATGCGCCAGCGTTAGTGTTTGTGTGTATGTGTTGCTCCTCCATACTTGCAAAGAGGACGCGATTACAACTCTGTATGTACATAAATGTATCAAATAACCATACCGAGACGTACTGGTCCATTCTCATTTGTGTTTATTCTGCCGGAGTCTCTTTGTGCTATTTATTATCTATTCCGATTCAAACGTACGCTGAATGACAGACAGAACAGCGCGTCTCTCACTCTCCCCTTCTGCTTACCGACGGCCATAGGTTTCAAGTTACGCCCTCATCCAAAGGCAGGGCGGGAATATGCAGCTCATTTGCATTAAAGTGGCAGGCCTCAAAACAGCTCATTTTCAAACAGGCCCCAAAATGACATTTTCAAAGGGTTATAATAAATTAACTATGGGGTATTTTTAGCTGAAACTTCACAAATACATTCTGGGGACAACCGAGACCAATATTACATCTTGTAAAAAGGGGCATAATAGGTGCCCTTTAAATTGCATAAAATGACTTAACTTGTAGTTGAATATTGTATAAGTTATAAAAAAAAGTAAAATTAATGACCATATAAGTTTTTATATTGATATGTATAATATGGATATCAATTTCAGTTAACTTTTAATTCATTTCAAGTAACACATTTTTAAATAGTTTTTAGGACCTTTCATTTTGATCTTTTTTTGATCTTCTGTGATGTATGCAGGACTTCTCCACTCATTTAGACCACTTAAACCCTGTCCTTTCTCACAACCGACAGCAAGCTCACTTTCAGATCCGCCTCATTCAATCGTCAACCGATTGATGGAAGCAAGTCCTTCGTTTTTTATTTTCTTTAATACGTTTCACTTGGATGTGCCTAACAATGCAGAAGAAAATATCTGTTGCTATACTTCAGTTTGAAGTTTCATCTCGAATTAAAATATGTTTTATATTGTCTAAAATCCCACGGGGTAAGAAACGCCCATGCATTAGTTGAAGAAACACTCATAAATGAAGGCCTATCGCGCTCTTATTCAACTTGACAGCACATGGACACATCATTTTATCTTTAATTAGCCCTTGGGATTTAAATAAACATGCATTAGTTGTTTGCTGGCTTCTGTACTTGGTATTAGCTAATCGAGAGGCTCATTAGTCTGAATGGAATATGTTTTAATTCAAGATGTTACATGTTTATTCATGTAAATGAGATGGAGAGAGGATTTCAAGGACAGTACAAACGCAAGTGACTACAATCATAATACTCACCAGACGCATGTCTTTTTATTCAGGAAAAAGAGATTGAACTGGCTTTGAATTGTGGTTAATAATCTGTCCTTATAAAACATGACAGTTTATTCACTTTCTGTCCTGCCGGTTTGTCAACATATTTTTAGCAATAGACGAACGTGACCAGGCTTTGATGCTCAGCAAACAAAAGCCACTGGACGAATCCCATTGATGTGAATGATTAATTTGGAGATGACTGGGTGGAACACGCAGCACTCACTCTCCCTTCCAAAACTTTCCAAAATCTATCGGCCTTAGCGCAAAGCCTGCTGGGAAAGCTTTGCTTCACAGGGATTGACAAAGTAATTCCTCACCAGTCTGGAGCTGAGGAGAAAACAGACGCAAGGAGGAAATTGGGGAAAAGTGTCTCTTGAAAATAGTTCATATAAATAGACTGGAATCAGCGGGAGGGGGAAGGGGGATCAGACACACAGACAAATGCCGGATGAGAGAGAATGACTGGATAGAAAGTGGAGTGAGAAAGAGGTTGTGATTCATCTGGGGACTGAGACGTTTGCACACTCCACCCGCTCCAACAGCTGCCTCCATCTCTTCTGCTGGGTGCTGTTTGTGTGATAAAGAATACAGAAAGAGTGAGCAGTTTTAAAGATATGTGCTACCTATGGAGCGCTGCACAACAACAAAAAGCATCTTAGTCATGCAGTTTCATGGTCACACCTCGAATCTGACTTTCATTTATCAAGTAGGAGTATTTCATTTATGAATCAGACAGTAACGAAGCTGGTTATGATCACTGATCAGTCAGGTCTTAAAACCTGTGCTTCAAATAAAACAATCCAAATTATCCAATCAACAAAATAGGACTGGACAACCCGGTCTCATCCCAAGACGTCATATAACTGATAATATAACATATAACTTTTGACCATACGTCAATATTCGCCTTTTTAGGGCCCCCTTAAACGTCGGTAGATGAGGTTATGGGATCCTAACTCTACCCCAGACCTAAACTTAACCCTAAACCTAACCCGTCACCTAACTGACGTTAAAGGTAAAGCGTCAGTTGTATGACGGCCCGGGATCGCCATCTACCGACGTTTAAGGGGGCCCTAAAAAGGCGGATATTGACGTATGGTCAAAAAACGTCCCAAGACGTCAGTTATATGACTTTTTGGGATGAGACTGTGTTAGACTGGAAAATATTCTTTTTCTTTCCTTTATATTATTTTCTCAGCATTTTATTCTAATGTAGATACAAACATCAACCAAGACACGTAATGTGGTCATATCATGTGAACTCTGAAGTCATTTTCATCTTAAAGGGTTAGTTCACCCAAAAATGAAAATTAAGTCATTAATTACTCACCCCCATGCTGTACCAACCCCGTAAGACCTTCGTTCGTCTTCGGAACACAAATGAAGATATTTTTGATTAAATTTGAGAGCTGTATAACTACCACATTGGCTCCTAAGGGACTGCCTCTTGACGGCCCAAAAAGTCAATGAAGAAAATGTTTAAATATCCCAAGTGACTACCGTGGCTCAACTATATGTTTATCAAGCGACGCGAATACTTTTTGTGCGAAAAAACAAACAAAAATAACGAGTTTATTCGACTATTTTTTTCTTCCTTGTAGGCCAGAACGAGACTTCCTTATAGATTTCCACGACGCATGCGCGAGAATTGCGATCTGAAGTGGTGTAAGCTGGTGTACGCAGATCGCAAATCTCGCGCATGCGTCGTGGAAATCTATAAGGAAGTCTCGTTCTGGCCTACAAGGAAGAAAAAAATAGTCGAATAAACTCGTTATTTTTGTTTGTTTTTTCGCACAAAAAGTATTCGCGTCGCTTGATAAACATATAGTTGAGCCACGGTAGTCACTTGGGATATTTAAACATTTTCTTCATTGACTTTTTGGGCCGTCAAGAGGCAGTCCCTTAGGAGCCAATGTGGTAGTTATACAGCTCTCAAATTTAATCAAAAATATCTTCATTTGTGTTCCGAAGACGAACGAAGGTCTTACGGGGTTGGTACAGCATGGGGGTGAGTAATTAATGACTTAATTTTCATTTTTGGGTGAACTAACCCTTTAAGTTCCTCATGAATTTATCATTACTGTTATTACCTGTGGATGTAATTTCAGGAAATTCAAAACAACTGTTCTAAAATGAGCCGTCCAGGCAGTGACCTCAAAAACATTTTGGTAATTTTTTCCCCCCAATTTTTTTTTTTTTTTACTGAATTGAACTGATACAAAATTATTCATTTATATTTAGTCAATGTGATTTTTACATAGGTATATTAGAGTAACTGTAAACAACTTGTAGCAGTTTTCATCGAAGAGCATACATAATTAAATTCTGCATGTATTCTGTAATCACAAAATGAATCATGATTCTTTGCCCATATAATCTGTAAAAGCTAATAAGGTCAAGCGTATTTGGCTTGCTGTCCGCAGTGGAGGGGCTCGATGAAGCTGCTTCAACTCAAGCTTTGATACACTCTCCAGTGGGAATACTAACGCTTGGATGATGAGGATGGAAGCAAGATGCCTAAATCATGTTGGTGGAGTTGGGGAGGTGGAGGGATGCCAAACAGCTGATGCCAGAGCAAGGTGAGTGGCTGCTTACAGTATGTGCTCTGGCAGTTCATTGAAAGATTAGGTTCACTCCTTCCGAAATTACTTAGTGAACTTCACTTAATTAATTTAATACATGAACACTCACACTTTCTGTTAATTAAAAAGGTTTGAAAACAAGTAAAATTGTCATAATTACAGTAGAAACGCCAGAGGAAATGATGTCATCATGGGGTGACTTTGTTGGACAATGGGAGTAAAAAAGGTTAAGAACCAGATTTAAGAGGAGGATTACAAATCTCAGTGAAGGTCCCTGGAAAGAGAAATATAAAGAACGATTATAGTACAATTACTCTTCATTTTGCCTTTCATTATAATTCAGTTCAGCCCATTCTCATCCCAAGACGTTATATAACTGACGCTTTTGACCATACGTCAACATTCAACGTTTTAGGGTACCCTTTAACATCAGTTAGATGACGTTATCTAATCCTAACCCTACCCCAGATCTAAACCTACCCGCATCATGTAACTGACGCTAAAGGTAAAGCGCCAGTTGGATTACGCCCCAGGATCGTCATTTAAGTGAGGTTAAAGGGTACCCTGAAATGTTGGATGTTGACGTATAAGCGTCAGTTAGATGACGTCTTGGATAAATACAGATCCACACTCAGTATCTTACCTGAGAAATCATGGCCAGATAGTGAATATTCTACATTTATGAACCTCACCTCTTTCCCATTGTTGCTAATATTAAACGGCTGGCTCGAGAAACATCTAAGTGTTTTACTGTTAAAGCTACACTGTGTAACTCTTTTAGTTTATTTTTAGCTAAAAACACTTAAAATATATGTGCTCATTAATGTATATTTACTTCATTCAAGTAATAAAGCATTCTCGTGAGTTTATATAATAAGGGGTTCTGATGTCGGTCGCCATGTTGCCCCTCCATCTTGAAAGTACATTAGCCAAAGAGGGACATACCCGTTAATTCAAGCGTCACCTTTTGCGTTTACGTTTGAGTTAACACTCATGGACGAGGTCGAACTGGAAGCCATGTTAAACTTGGACTACATTGGCCACCGTAGGAGTTAAAATGAAATCGGAATTGAGAGGAATAGACACTAATATTCACTGGATGGTCATATACCTTTTCACCGCTAGATGGGGGTAAAAATCACACAGTGTAGCTTTAAATAAACATGCAAGCTGTAGTGAAATGGTAGCATTGCCAGGCATATTAGATATTAAAAATATCAATATTACATTTTTTTCCAATGTCTATGTCATCCTTAAAGGGATAGTTCACCCAAAAATGAAAATTAAGTCATTAATTACTCACCCCCATACTGTACCAACCCTGTAAGACCTTGTCGCGCATGCGTCAAGGACATTTCTTGAACTCTCATCTCAGACCTACAAGGAAGAAAATGAATAGTCGAATGAAGTCGTTACTTTTGTTTGTTTGTTTTTCGCACAAAGAGAATTCTCGTCGCTTGATGAACTTATAGTTGAGCCACAGTAGTCACATGGAATATTTAAACATTTTCTTCTATGACTTTCTGGGCCGTGAAGTTTCAATTCCTTAGGAGCCTATGTAGCAGTGATCCACCTCTCAGATTTATTCTATGTACAAGAATTTCAAAGCTTCATTAAAGTGGTATTTGTGTATAAAGATCAAATATGTTCTTTGTCATCAGTCTGAATTATCACCTCAATTATTATCAGACACGGACATCCTGAGGCAGGTGTAATAGCACAGCAGGATAGGCCACAAGGGCGTGAGTTTGGCACAGAGAAGTGAACAGACAGCCTTAAGGCTTGTCACTAGCAAGCAGGCATCTGATCAACACGTTAGCAGGGGCAGAGCACTTGACAGTGGAGTGCTGTGTGTTTGAGTGCTGGGGACCTGGGGTTGTGTAGGGGCGACTCGACCGTGACCACACACATTGGCCCTGAAAAGTGAGATAACAATAGCATGTGTAAGCGTGTTTGTGTGTGTGTGTGTGAGCGAGAGTTAAAATATGATCCAGGCTATAGACATTATGTCTGTGTGTGTGTGTTAAAATATCATTTAAAATGTTTCAAAATAAAGTTTGGAAACTGGTTCTAAAAACATAGGGTGAATAATCAGTTTCCATTCTCAGTCGGCTGTTCAGCTGATGAAACATCTTTCCAAAAGACGTACAGTAGACATTAACCTTTATAAAACCATTTTGAAAGGTGAGTTGTGAAAAGTGCATGTAATCTAGGACCTGTACAGCACATGCCATTATAAAGACTGTCTATCTTCACAGCCTCATTTTCATTCTAGTATTAATTTGATCTACCCTGACTAAAGTTTATAGTCAGAGTTTCCTGGCGTGCTTCTCAATAGTCAACGCATTCTCACCCCAAGGCGTCACCTTTGACCATGCTTCAATATTTGACGTTTTAGGCGCCCTTTAGCGTCAGTTACATGATGCGATCCTACGGAGTCATCTGACTGACCGTAAAGGAAAGCGTCAGTTAGATGACGCGGTTAGGTTTAGGTCTGGGGAGGGGGTAGGGTTACACGCGATCCTAGGGCGTCATCTGACTGACGCTAAAGGGCGCCTAAAGCGTCAGATGAAGCATGGTCAAATGCTTCCCAAGGCGTCAGTTAGGGCTGCAACTGGGCTGCTACATCATCAAGCTTTGTCAAAGGACATCTCAATTTGAAGGATTTTTGTTTTGAAGACAGCCTTTTTTGCATACTACTTCATTCAGCTTGTTTTGAAGGTTGCATCATTCAGTCTCCCACAATATTTTGCACACATTTCAATTCACGAAATGTCACTAATAATGCAATACAAAAAATATATATTTTGGAGATGAAGGCATGTTTTGTTTTTTGTTTTTGGTGAATTAATCATATGCTAAACCCAACACAGTCTCATGAAAGTGCGTATCTATACCACGATTGTCATTTCTCGTGGCATTTATACGCGAAAAATGTTTTTTGCGAGCATATGCTATGCACTGAAAACCGCACTGTTTAGGGGGAAGGGCGGTGGGGAGTTCGTACTTATTATACGCCAAAAAGTGCGTATCATATGCACGCGAAAAACACGTACCATATACATGCAAAAACTAGTTTTGCCGTATAAATGGCACGAGAAATGACATTCGTGCTAGATAGCCTACGAACTTTCATGAGATCGGGCTCGCTAAACCCTATAATGTAAACCACTGGGAGACCACAGAAGGTTGTGATTACCTGTATTGCATTAATAGAAAAATAGGTTGAATACAAAGTCATTTGAAATGATAATTTTAATAGTCTTTTCGCACCTGAAACATTTATGATGTAGCCATGCACACTCATGCTAGACTCATTGTAGTGTTTATTGCTGAGGAGGACTCAGCCTACAAGCCTCCTAACGACTGGACTAGGGAGGATTACTAATACTGTATTTGGTGATGCCACGAAACCACTCAATATACCTACTAATTGTCCAATGTAATCTAATTTCTAAACCAACGAGCCGACTATAATATTCAGATTCCTGAACAATTACTCTTGTGTCAATCGAAAACTTACAGCTCAACTAGTCTGATTTCCAAAGGAATCATTCGAATGAGTTGGTTCTTTAGTGAATCAAACTGTTAACAAATAGGTAGGCTACCGACTGATTGTTCATATGACATCTACCCAAGCAATAGTCACCGTCTAGGTTAACTATTGGCCCGGCTATGATACACATCACGTTTTTTGAAAAAAATATTGTTGGTTTTAACTTAAAAAAAATGAAGTAACCTGGTTGCCTTGTAATTTTAAGTTCATTGAAATGGAAAAATTAAGTTAATACAATGAAGGAGATTGATTTAATCATCAGAAACTCAAAATATTATGTTATCTGAACTACATGAATTATCTAAGTTGATTTGACAAAAGAAAAAATTTCGTGATTACAAATCATGAAAATATTTTTACTGTGTATTTTATAAAAGTTACTGAATGAAATACAGTATGTTACCACATTGTTTGTTTAATTTTGTTATGGTTAAGGTTAATTGTTGGATTGAATTTGACACCTCTATGTAAAAAGTCATTAAATGTCTCTGTAAACACACCTTTTGCAAGAGTTATTCTAAATATACTTCTTATTGAAATTGGCAAAAATGCTAACAAAATAATCATTCATGGAAATGCAGCTTTTGCGAATAAGTTCTGCCGGGAAGACTAAATCATTACGTTATCCAATCATGCTCTAAATACTCGTTGTATAAAAGGTCGAAACTTCTATTCACCTTCATCCTCCCCTCGACCACCAAGATGTCCCTTCTCGACCCTCCTCGACACAAACACCAGGATCTTCCCATCCCACAAGGGGTGGTCGGCTGCGCCAGGACATGCAGATTCTGTACCCTCGGAATGCAAACTACAGACGGGACCTACGCCAAAGAACTTTATGCTTGCCGAGCTGTTAATAAATGTTTACTGGTAACGGCATTATTCTCCGAAATCTTTCTGGTAGAATTATTAAGAAAATAGAATCAAGAGGAATTTGAACCAGATTTGGAATCAATAAATTCTTTATTATTCCCATATCTATTCACAATTTCAGTTCAAACGACAAATAAAGTATGTTCTCAGGCTTGAATGCAGTACTCCACCCTTTTGAACTTAATGTTTTAGTTAGATATTTTAGATAGTCACTTCATGATTATGTCAACTAATGATGTTTGCAGAGCAGCAAGGTCTTTCCAGGGAGTTCCTGGTATGTTTTTTACAGAGTGGTGAGATCTGGTTTCATGTGTCAAGTTTTAAAGTCAATATATTTTGATCGGTATCACATGGGGAACAGGTGACTTCATGGAGCAGTTACATGTAGTCATCCATAACAGACTTCAAAGACAAGTAAAATGTCGGAATTTGTCCAAAAAGCAGCGCCGGTATTTGTTGAATCAGGAACAGGACTTTGACATTGCAGTGTAAGCAATATTTTCCTGTCTCAAAATTGTGAGTCTTATCAGTTTGCTTGTGCAAACATTCACTCATTGGCTAAAAATAACAGAATGTTGTAGAGATATTGCCTCAAAGGATGTAGATTTGGCCAATGTTGTAAGATTAAAAAATTAAAAAACAATGACAGCCCAAGTGAACTGGCTGCAGGCCACAACAAAGACATATCAATTACATCATTTATATTACCATGAGCAAACATGGGAGTACTGGAGCTTATTTTCTTCTAAATGTGTGTGTGTGTGTATGTGTGCTCCAGCTGTGCTGTCACTCAAGGAAACCCACTACACTCATAACACACACTCGCCTTTGCCCTCTGAGAGGATCTAAATTTGCTGTGCTCAACAGAAATCGAACCTATAGTCATAATTACATGCAAACTAAAACATAAACCTGACTCCAATCCTCTCTCCCTGCTTTTCCATCCAAAATACAACATAAATGATGTCAGGATTGATACACATGAAGTCAGATTTAAATTTGAGGTGCTCTCTATTCCCGACATCACTGTCACAAGATCCTAGAGGCCGTGGCATCGGCATGCCCTGTAAATAGAACACATCCAGTATACAGGGAATTCTCCTCTTGACTGGGTTTATAGGAGACTGGGTTGATGGACCGTGTGGCCTCCAGATGGGCACTCAGGCCTGGACGGCGTGATCAGAGGTGAACAAAAGCAATCTAAATGGAGCAGAAAGACAAACACGCCAGTCTGTTCATTTAGTCTTTCCAGACAGTTAATGAGGATGGACACTAAATGAAAGTGGTCAAATATAGTTCAAATATCACAATTTAACCCTTAAAATGTGTAGGAGACTTTAAACTTTTGTCATCATGCAGTATTCTCTGGCATATGCTGTTTGCACTAAGCAGTAGATTCATCGAATTAAAGTTAGTGAATAGACCTTTTTTTTTGTTTTTTTGCAATAATCCAAAAGCCAATGGAAAAATCCTATTGGGGTTTGTCATGCTAACTTCTGGGTTGGACTACAAAAAGTATAGGTAAACTCCTTTGACCCTCAAATTCCAGAGTAAGACTCTCGCTTGTGAGGAAGATTTGGAAATTAACGTGCTAATCTTGATTGGACATGATATGAGATGGTGTCAGGGCAACGTCAGCTGTATTTTGTCCCTGTTTCCATGGCAACCCCAAAGTGCTGCTTGGAGGTGTGACGCTGCTCGAAGTGTGGCATGTGCCAAAGCCTACTGCTTATCTCTCGTTTGCTAAGTTTCTATTCATAGTGCTCAATGGTGAGCCATGCTGAGGATGGGCATGTGGTGGGTACAGTTGGGCTACGCAGATCAGACCGTACCATGCTGATTTTAGAGAAACGCAGGGTAGAACGCGAGGGGGGTTGGCAGAGCGCAGGTGTCTGGACGGTCTGCCTGCAAAACCTCAGTTCTCAGTAGTACCGTTCAAGTCTAAGTAACACCTGCTATAGTGATGGGCTTTAGTGACACAGTTTTCCCCACACAAACATTTTGGAATAGGAATATTCATTTTTGGTCATGAAAATGTATCTGACTTCAAAAATTCACGTTTAATTCAATGCGTACTTGCCTTTTATGAAAGTTACAAGCAATTTCACAATCGATGTTCACCATTATTTCTCAGTGTGCCCTGATTTTGTGTTATTGTTATAATAAATAATACAATTAATGTCTATTATTTTTAATATGATTAGTAATTTTTATTTGTATTATGTATAGCTACCATGAAATGTAAAATTATAATTATTCACACAATTATTTATTAGCTGTCATATCCTGCATTTACGGCTCAGTGATCTGCGACTGGAACCAAAAGTCAGTGAGGAGAGCTCTACTCGAACTGTCACTGGATATGTGTTTTTTTAGCAGAGTGGTTGGGCCTGGGGACAGAATCTATGTAAATAACAGCTTTTGTGGGTGATTGTTCAAGCTCAATTGGCACCTCTGTAATGGGCTTTTGTAAAGTGGATCAGTGAAGAGAATGGCACGGCTCTATGCCACAGAAAACAAGCCATTGTGGGCTCTGCCTGTTCAGTGCCAGGGACACAGAGAGTTGCTGAGAGAAATTGATCTGGCCGGGCTTAACCCCTAGTCTTTCATGTGTCTATGGCTTTGGCCAGAATTGGCTTTGTTAGAATCAGCCTACGCAAGGTCTTTCCGACCCGATGATCAGCACTTTACCCCCCTGGGAGATGGGAGAGAGGCGGTGGACTGCACTGAAGCCACCTTTATTCCCCATTGTGCCCATGCACTGGTACATCAATAGTGTTGGATAGAAGCCTGAGGAAAAAACAAAACAACAACAACAACAACAACAAAACTGCTGGGAAAGACACTTTGGAATAAAAACCCTGGGGGAATCAACAACAGCTTGTTGTTGTAGGCTGCCTATACACATAACACCCTATACAAACTATTTACCAGTTTAATTGAGTAGATTGAACAGTGTTTCCATTTTATGAGATATTGATTTAGAAAGCACTAAAAGTGTCACTTGATTTTGTGGAACACATGAGTCGGTGCAATACTTAATTATTTCTAGGTAATAAGATGAAGACAGATTTTTCAAATGCTCCGGGACACTTCATATTTTAAGTGAGAGAGACAAGTCTGGACACATCCTACTGTCCTACTTCAGACTACACTTTGTGGAACACAGTGGCAAGCATGAGGGAGCTTTTTTTCTAGGAACAGATCCCAGGATGTCTGAAAACCCTAATGAAATAGCCAATTGCCACAAGGTTAAATAAACTGGGTCATTTAGTTTGGACTGCGACTGGTATTTTAAATAACCCCACCTGAAAATACCTCCTGATCTACACTCACCGGCCACTTTATTAGGTACACCTGTCCAACTGCTCGTTAACACTTAATTTCTAAGCAGCCAATCACATGGCGGCAACTCAGTGCATTTAGGCATGTAGACATGGTCAAGACAATCTCCTGCAGTTCGAACCGAGCATCAGTATGGGGAAGAAAGGTGATTTGAGTGACTTTGAACGTGGCATGATTGTTGGTGCCAGAAGGGCTGGTCTGAGTATTTCAGAAACTGCTAATCTACTTGGATTTTCACGCACAACCATCTCTAGGGTTTACAGAGAACGGTCCGAAAAAGAAAAAACATCCAGTGAGCGGCAGTTCTGTGGGCGGAAATGCCTTGTTGATGCCAGAGGTCAGAGGAGAATGGCCAGACTGGTTCGAGCTGATAGAAGGGCAACAGTGACTCAAATAACCACTCGTTACAACCAAGGTGGGCAGAAGAGCATCTCTGAACGCACAGTACGTCGAACTTTGAGGCAGATGGGCTACAGCAGCAGAAGACCACACCGGGTGCCACTCCTTTCAGCTAAGAACAGGAAACTGAGGCTACAATTTGCACAAGCTCATCGAAATTGGACAATAGAAGATTGGAAAAACGTTGCCTGGTCTGATGAGTCTCGATTTCTGCTGCGACATTCGGATGGTAGGGTCAGAATTTGGCGTCTACAACATGAAAGCATGGATCCATCCTGCCTTGTATCAACGGTTCAGGCTGGTGGTGGTGGTGTCATGGTGTGGGGAATATTTTCTTGGCACTCTTTGGGCCCCTTGGTACCAATCGAGCATCGTTGCAACGCCACAGCCTACCTGAGTATTGTTGCTGACCATGTCCATCCCTTTATGACCACAATGTACCCAACTTCTGATGGCTACTATCAGCAGGATAATGCGCCATGTCATAAAGCTGGAATCATCTCAGACTGGTTTCTTGAACATGACAATGAGTTCGCTGTACTCAAATGGCCTCCACAGTCACCAGATCTCAATCCAATAGAGCATCTTTGGGATGTGGTGGAACGGGAGATTCGCATCATGGATGTGCAGCCGACAAATCTGAGGTAACTGTGTGATGCCATCATGTCAATATGGACCAAACTCCCTGAGGAATGCTTCCAGCACCTTGTTGAATCTATGCCACGAAGAATTGAGGCAGTTCTGAAGGCAAAAGGGGGTCCAACCCGTTACTAGCATGGGGTACCTAATAAAGTGGCCGGTGAGTGTATATACGTTTGTCCTCACTCAAACTACGCTCTAAAAAACAATGGTTCCAACAAGCAAACACAGAACGTTCCCCTAACGTTCCCGAATGGTCCCATGAGGTTATTTTTTGGGGAACCAAACAAGAACGTTATAGGAACATTCCATATAGGTTATTTTTAGGTTCCATTTTTATAACGTAGGGAGAATGTTCCGGGAACGTTCCCTTAACCTTAAGGGAAAGTTCTAGGAACGTTCTGGGAACCAAAAACTAACTCCCAGAACGTTCCCAGAACCTAAATTTGTTTGCTGAGGGGTTTGTACAGCGATGCCATTGAAGAACCATTTTTTGGTTCCCTAAAGAAAGAAACATAATAAAAATCTTAAAAA